AAGTTTTATATTCTTAACTCATATTTAGGTCCATTTCAAGTTAATCTTCTGTATACTATGTTATGACAGTCTACAAAATTTGTATCTACAAAGAGTTGTAGTATCATGAAAATGCTCATTTATAAAAATTAACTGAAAAGAGCCCAATACAAATCTTTATATATAGGATAGGCACCACTTGACGATCGAGTTTTAACAGGAACAAACCAATGGATAAAACCCATGACTAGAAAAAAGAATGGAAGGAATGTTTAATTGCTGTTTTTAGCTTGTGCGACCATTGCCTATTTCCTGTTTCTTTTCACTTTTCTGTATTTTTAGTGTTTGCTGTAATAAGCACCAAAGACTGTTATACCAAAAATCAATTAAGATATTTTTAAAAAATCATCTCAGAGGCTTTCCAACTCTAGGCAGCCTTCACAGGGCTCTTCAGTGCATAAATGGCCCCTTTGAAGAACCTAAAAGGTGAACATACTACCAAGAATTCACCGTCTCCCCAGCCCGCTCAGGAAGAGATGAAACAAAGAATTTCCAAGGAGAATTCTCCAAAGAGAATGTAAGACTAGCTGAAGCCTCTAGACCAAACCAAATGCAAACCCAAATCCAAATACCACCCTAATAAAGGTGAATTCCAGTCGAGGGAAGCCGGTTGGCCCACTTGAGACCCCACCAAAATGCTGGCCTGTCCTCCCAGACACTCCGTGGTCACAGACGTGAATGTCAAACAGCTTCTCCACTTACTCCCTCTCCACGGGCAAGGAAAGCTAATGAAATTCTCTCGCTGATGTGCTCACTGTCCTCTGTCTCAATACACTTGACAAGACAGCTTAAGTCTGCAGCCCCGTGATCAGCCTATGGCCGGCCCAGCCGCCGCTCCATGTGTATGTACTGCTGATGATCTGGCAAGCGGGATTTGCCTCTTGAGCTGCCGCACAGGCCAGACTGGCTGATGGGATTGCCTACAGATGTTTCACGGAGAGGAAGATTACTTCCCTGATTGGTGAATAAATAGAGTTGTCAACACCATCTCCGTGGTCAGAGGGGACCCCTGAAGTAGAATGTGGCAGGACAGATGTTTCATCCGGGAAGGTGTCCAAGACCCTAAGAAGAGGTGTGTGCTCGGCTGATACGGCAGGCCGAGTAATTCAGCCTCCGAGAAGGAGCTGGGAGGGCGGGCGCACAGTCGGAGCCAACACCACTGGCGAGCATCCCTGGCCCAGACCACCTCCCAAATCGTCCTAAGGGAGTGGGCGTGCTGTCTCAATCACAGCCTCCTCTTTGGGCTGTTTTTCCAATGAACAAAAGGTCCCTATCATGAGAAATGCAGTCATCTTCTTAGTCCTTACCTGCTGTGAATCACAAAGAGGGCAGCAGAAACGACACTGTAATCCTCATGCTAAACCTCACAGCTTCCTCCAGAAGGAAGGAAAAGCAGGCACAGTCCTGCTGGGAAGGAGGCAGGGCACCTGGAGGGGGCTACCTTCTTCTCAGGAGCATGCTACTGTGGGTTTTCCTGGCTGACCTTCCAGAATGAATGAGACAGTAACAATAACTATGATCATAATTGTTTTAGCAACTGGAAGGTAAGCCATCACGGCGTGATGCTACACTATATTCCTGATGCACGTACATCTCACTGAACCCGCACACATAAGAACGTGCGTGCACAGAATCCCCGTGCAAGGACTAGCAACACTTATTGCCTGGAAACCCCCTCTTGAAGAGTCACTAGAGGATGTATCCCAATGAAGGGGAAAGAGGAATGGGTAAGTGTTTTCATTAAATCCATTTTGTACATGAAAATGCACAAACTCAGAAAGGTAAAGTAACTCGCCAAGGTCACAGAGCAAGGAAGCAGCCAGCTCGGGAACAGAGCCCAGATTGGGCTCATTCCCAAATCCCTGCTCTTAGTGACTGTAATTCTGTGGCCACCAGGAGAGGAGGGGGATGAGGAGTACACCTGGAACACAAGCAAACAAGTGGTGACGCCTCCCACACGGAAACATGGCGTGCCCAGACACACACCACTTACACCTGGACATGCCCGGTTCCAGCCTCCCCCTTGCACAGCTTGGAGCGTAATGCTAAAAATCTCTTGTGCAGTACTTTCAGACAGGCTATATTCCAGGAGACAGGCAACAGACCATCCATGTCCCACACCCATACACACGCAGACACAACCAGACTAGCTGAAACCTAGAGCACTATCCCAAAAAGGGTATTTGGGTATTTGTGGCAAAAGAGGCCCCGTCTTACCACCTGCAGAGAAGGAAGAAATCATATGCAGGAGAAGAATCTAGGCTAGTTTTCTCAGAGTTTGCACGCCTTAAAAACATTTTCTAGTAATAACAACAACCAACTTTTTTACATCCCACTCCATAGCGAACTAGATTTTCCTCAAGGGTAGCAAAGTGGGAAGCTTCAGTGTGTAACACTAGCCTGGCACATGGTAGGTACTCAATACCTTTTTGTTAAATGACAGCGAATGAACAGACAAAGACAGGATGAAGGGAGAGGCCAACATACGGTAGTAATGGGAAACATAAGCTTTGGGGCTGGACAGTCCTGGGTTTGAATAATAGCTGCCACTTTCTGGGTATCTATTGCTACTGCCTCTCTCTGTCTCACTTCTGTCATTTTCAGAGTGGAGACAAAAATAAATACCAACTTGACAAAAATGGCTGGAAGAACTCAAGGATGTGGTGCTGAGCACCATGACTGGCACATGCTGGGGTTCAGGGATGAGATCTACCTTTACTTCCAGGGAGAACACTCCAGTCTGCGGGAAAGAGCAAAACACAATATACCTTGCATCTCAGGCTTACAGAGACAAAGGATCACTGTTTTTAGGTGACCATGGAGGCTGGGTCAGGAGCTGCAGGGACCAGCCTTGCAGAGGCAGAGAGGGTGAGGGCTCTGCTCCAGGCGGTTTCTCTGCTGGACCATGATGGAGCTTCCCAGGCAGGTTCAGAGGAGACCACTTAGGGAACTGAAGAAAATCAGAACAGGTCCCAAGAGGAGCACCCAAAGGGACCATCATTGATTAGACTTCAAGAAGTGCAGGAAGGGGCTGGACATCCTACATGGTCCCAGGGTCAAAATGGAGCTGACAAGCTAAAGCCACAGGAGGTACATTTCAGTGGGAACGAAGTCCCAGAAAGGCTGCTCTTCGCCTGAGGTCATGGCAGAGAGCAGGTGCATGGCAGAGCACATGGCCAAATCCAAAACCAGTGGGATGATTCCGATGCCTAGTGCTATACTTCTCGACTGTACAGCAGTATAGGAAGAAGGGAGACTAGGCACTGAAATGACCTCCCACCCCCACCAACCCAACCCCACTGGTAAAGAAAGCCTCGTGTGGGTGTGTGTATGCATGTGCTGGTTCTTGCTTCAAATACTTTTGTAGGATTGAAGGCACAAATAGCCCCAATTCAAAGGTTCTTTCTGTCCCCTACAAAAGCTTAAGCCCACTGGATGGACAAAGCTGGGAGAAGGTAAGAGGCAAAGGCTTGAATGGATAAAGAAGATGTGGTATATGTATGTACACACACACACACACACACACACACACACACACACACACACACACGAGTATTATGCAGCCATCAAAAGGAATGAGATCTTGCCATTTGCAACGACGTGGATGGAACTGGAGAGTATTATGCTGAGCGAAATAAGTCAATGAGAGAAAGACATGTATCATATGACCTCACTGATAATGAGGAATTCTTAATCTCAGGGAACAAACTGAGGGTTGCTGGAGGGGTGGGGGTGGAAGGGATGGGGTGGCTGGGTGATAGACATTGGGGAGGGTATGTGCTATGGTGAGCGCTGTGAATTGTGTAGGACTGTTCAATCACAGACCTGTACCTCTGAAACAAATAATGCAATATATTTAAAAAAAAAAAAAAAAAAAGAAGATAGTAGGAAGGGAAAAATGAGGGGGCACCGGAGGGGGAGATGAACCATGAGAGACTATGGACTCTGAGAAACGAACTGAGGGTTCTAGAGGGGAGGGGGGTAGGTGGATGGGTCAGCCTGGTGATGGGTATTAAAGAGGGCACGTACTGCATGGAGCACTGGGTGTTATACGCAAACAATGAATCATGGAACACTACATCAAAAACTAATGATGTAATGTATGGTGATTAACATAACATAATAAAATAAAATTAAAAAAAAGAGGCAAAGGCTTTAAGGATCCTAAAGGAGAGTGGGGAGACCTATCTCCCCCTGGGCTGGGGAAGAAGGGAGATCAGGTGCTGCAGCCTGAGAAAATAGTAAGACACATTCTCAGGAGGAATGGTGGTGTGGGGGTCCTGAGGAGGGAAGACCCCAAACCAGGGCACCCAGTCTGACAAAGATGCCCACAGCCTATATGGGCATGAAAGCAGACAGCCTGCAGACCTCAAGGAACCTCAAAGGATTATCACAGTGAGGTCGGTGGCAACCAGGAGATGAAAGGCTCAGACCCTGTTTCCTTGGCTATATGCTTCCTGGATCTCTGGGGTCATTTTGGAAGGAAGAATGGCCCCAATGACCAAGAAGGGATTTTCTGTTCATCTGCTCAGATGTGGGCTCAGAGACATATAAAGTTGATTTAAAGCAAATACAGATATTGAAATTCTTTGCAAATCTGTGTTTGAGAATTGAGATTCATACCCAGCAGGACTGCAGGTACCAAACACCATATAAAAGGGTGACAGAAGGGCGCCTGGGTGGCTCAGACGGTTAAGCATCTGCCTTCGGCTCAGGTCACGATCCCAGAGTCCTGGGATCGAGTCCCTCACTGGGCTCCCTGCTCAGTGGAGAGCCTGCTTCTCCCTCTCCCTCTGCCCCCAACCCGTGCTCTCTCTCTCTCTCTCTCTCAAATAAATAAATAAAATCTTAAAAAAAAAATGGCAACAGAAACACCTGCTCTCCTCCCCCTCCCCATCCCCCAGAGACTGGGTACCCCCAGATCTGACAGCTGGAGAGCACCTCCCGGGCTCCTGCCTTACCTGGGGAGCAGGTACTTGCGGCTGACACACACAGCAGTCTGGTAGTCCTGGGTCACACATACTTTGTGAGGGCTGCATTTCACCTTCAGGCAGGGGTCTTTGGATGGGTCCAGGGCTGAGGCAATAAGAACAAGAAGAGGGGGGTTAGGACCTCCAGGGAAATTTAATTTCTCTTTCTACTCAAACAAGTGGGAAATAAGCAGACCATGTGTTTGCACTCCGTGCTGTTTTCTTAGGCTGATGGGGATCACAATGAATCCCCAAACCAGGGGGAATTCTGTGTCTGGGCACATGTTCTTCTTTAACACCAGGATAGTGATTCCTTTGTGCTTTGGGGAGTTTCAGCATCTCCATCTCGGGCAGGAACTACTTTAAAAATCCTTTAGAATCTTACATGCTTCAAGGACCAAGAGCTACTTTTCCCTCTTTGGTTATTTGGCTACAACTGCTTTTTATGACTTCATCCATGCCTACCTTTACTTATTTCCTACAACGTGGAGAAGTCCTTGAGGATAGACTTTTTTGGCTCCAGTTCAATCAACATGGACTGTGTGCATCAATAAGCTTATTTTAAATTTTGTGACTAACGTGAGGATGCACAAGACCGTTCTATACCACACAAAGTTCTGATATGATAAGGAGGGGGACAAGCTGACACATAAATATTTATTGTGCAAGGCGGGAGGAGATAAGGGTCCTGACGGGCATATAAAATGATAACAGAGCTCGAGTGAAAAATAGAGATCAATTTCTGGGGCATGGATTAATGAAGCATTAATATGTGAACTGGATCAGGGCGCCTGGGTGGCTCAGTCGTTAGGCGTCTGCCTTCGGCTCAGGTCATGATCCCAGGGTCCTGGGATTGAGCCCCACATCGGGCTCCCTGCTCAGCGGGAAGCCTGCTTCTCCCTCTCCCACTCCCCCTGCTTGTGTTCCCTCTCTCGCTGTGTCTCTCTGTGTGTCAAATAAATAAATAAAATCTTAAAATAAAAAATATGTGAACTGGATCTTGAAGGAGGGGCAGAATGCGGGGGCATGAAGACCAGCATACGCCAGCTCAGGGAGGCACACCTGGGCCATTGAAAGACACTCCATCGGATGAGTGAGTGTGGCCTGCAGGTGGGAATGACGCGGGGCAGGGAGGGGATGTCGATTCAACCCAGGCAGCGGAGAGAGGGTCTCCCACTACAGCAGTTGCCAAACTGCAACGCTTTCCAGAGCCAGCTGAGCTCATAAGCACTCCTCAGCTGCTCATAGCAGAACAGAGGCCACAGGAAATTCTCCACAAAACAAAAGCAATTGTACCATCTCCTAGCTCCAGGCCTAAAGCCTATTTAGGCCGTAAATCTTTCATTACTTCTCTCCCCATCCAGAGGAGGTGAGGTTTCCCCATGTCCTCCCCACACACGTATGCGGTTACACAAACGGGCGTCCCGAGCACGGACAACAAACCTGCCGTGAGAAATGCCATCATCCCCTCCATGGCTGGGTCCCTCGGCCACCACGATACCCCTGCGCTTAGAGAAGTCCTGATTCCTCTCAGCCCGAGCAGGCCCCAAGTCTCAAGACCACCTTCTTCTGATGGCTGCAGGGCAAGTCTCAGGGGATCTGAACCCACAACAGCCAGAGGCCTTTCTGCTACATGAATAGCTCGGGGAGGCCCCCTCCGCTGCAGCAGCCTCAGCCACTGTCCACACAGGCAGGGTGCATTTTTTTGGCCAGTCAGCAACAAGACCCGGGTCTGGTCCCTGGGAAGTCATGCGGCAGAGCCTACTCCCCGAGGGACTGCCCAGCTGCCTGAAGCTTAGCAGAAGAAAATGAGCTGCAGGACGAAAAAAAGAGACTGATTCAAGCCCCAGGGACAGGGCGTTCACTTTGAACTCTTCAGCTGAGGGCTGCATCTGGGAGGTAAATGGTGGGGGGGGGGGGGGGGGGGGGCTGTGTCCGCTCACAGAGTCCCCCGAGGCTGGGCCTTCCGTAAATTCACAGCAGGGACTGCCCGGTCCTAGGTGGAATGTTCTTGGTCCTGGGGATGTCCACCTGAGAAGCCAGGAGGCTGGCGTGGCCTCAGGTCACTGGCCTTCTCCTTGGGCAGTATCTCCCACCCCCAACCCCAGAGTGGCTGCCCAGCCAACTCTGACTTGCTTTCCAAGACGCATGCAAAATTAATCCAACTTGCAGAATGACTACCGGATGACCGCTAACGACGACCATGCCAACTGTTCGCGGGTCCTCCTCAACACGGGAGCGAGTCAGACATTATGGAGCTCCAGAGAGTCGAAGACCAGACCACAGGCAGCCCCCACCAAGGTACCAGCTTCAGCATTTCCCTGACAGGTGCTCAGCATTGCAGAACCCCAGCGATTTTCACTGGACCATGTGGCAGAGTGGAAACCGACAGGGTGATGGAGAGCAAAATCTGGAATACTGCATGACCAGCTTTCGGGCCAAACTCTTTCTCTCTGCAGGCAACTCCACAAACATCCACGTCCATCCTGTGGCCCAGATGTCCTGCGTGGACAGTGCCATCTCAGAGCAACTGAGTGAGCCATGTGGAGTACGGAAGAGCGGGCTCCAGGCCCAGCGATTCCGAGTTTGAATGCCGGCTCTGCGATGTGCTCGTGCCTTAGTTGCCTCTTCTACACAGTGAGGGGCAATGCCACCTGCTACCGCTTGGGTTGTCAGGAGGACTACACAAGTTAATATCTGTGAGTACTTAAAACAGACTTGGTATAGGTAACACACCTCGCAGTTGTCTGCTCATTTTTTGAGCACTCTGTCCCCAGAATGAATAAGAAGCCTTCATAATAACATGGATACCTTGACACTTACCCACAGCTTCAGACATGGAGGCAATGGACCAAACCCTCTAACTGGATTACCATATTTAATTCTCAAAACCACCCAAAGAGGGGGCTTCTGTTAATGTACCCATTCTGCAAATGAAGGTCTTAAAGAATCACCAATGAGAGGTGCAGAGGGAATGTGACACCCGATCAGTTGACTCCTCACCTTCAATGGCTAGCAGCGTGAGAATTACCTAGGGTCTCCTTTGAGGAGTTGACTATGGGGCCACACCTCATACCAGGTAGAGAGCCCAAGTGCACCAGGTTCTTGGGAAGTCCTCGGGGCAGAAAGAGACGCAAGGGGTCTAAGTAAGGGGCAGCCAGGGAATCTGGTGTGCCCAGGCTGGACCATGCAGGATGGGCCCCATGGACCGCACACAGACCCCAGGGCTTCCTGAGAAGGTGAGGTGTCCAGCCCTGGGCAACCACACCCTCTGATTGCTGCCTCTCTGAACGCGGCAACCGTCCAGCTAACTCCACAGACTACTGTTCTGGTCAGTTTTCCTTCTGCAGCCCTGCCATGTGGCATGCTACCATTAGGATAACTACTATAAATCACCATCCCTCTAATTCTCGAAGCCGGCACTTCTTCAAAACAAACACAAAAAAATCCAACCAAAAATACTAATAAATGAAAATCAGTCCCTTAACTCTACGCACATACTTAACAATTTGCATACAGAAATAAAGTCTGCTAAAAAATAATTACCAGTCTGAATACTTCAAACATGTATGCGAATTATTTTGAGTAAATGAACTTTGCAGAACAACACAACAGTAATAAATCAAGCTGTCGGTGTTCATTGAATCACCACGGTACATTCTGAGTCTGAAAAACAGCAACGTTGAGATTGAGAGGGGGTTAGGACGGTGAAGGGAGTGCGTGATTTCCCTTTAAATGTGGCCTCCCAGATGTGCTTTTCCAAGCAGCCCCCAGGCCCATGGTGACAGTGGACAGGGCTGTGCGGTTCCACTTTCTAAAGGGAATGGTAACAGATCAGAATAATAAGTGGCATTTGAGAGGCCCTTTAATAAGACGCAGGGAAATTGCTCAGGGAAAGAGGTAGGGAGAGCGAGCTTAGTGTGAGTGATAACCGAGAGCAGGCCTAGAAGCTTCCTTGTCAAGGGGTTAATGATTTCAGGAGCTTGTGCTCCAAGTTTCTCTCTCTCCCACCACAGGCTTGGCGACAGGATGCAGCACTGCCCGAGGGATGGCGGAGCCCCAGATCCCTGCACCTGCCCCGCTCCCCTCATGATGCCTGAGGATTTCTGTGGACCACACGAGGCTAGTGTCCCTGTCACAGAGCGCTCCCCCACGGGTGCTTCACTTCATCTCTCCTGCCCGTTCCCCAACACCAATCAAGGGTCAACGGGCACAGACCACATGTCCAATTAATTCGTTTAATAACGTTTACAAAAAACTTTTTTCCAAGAAGAAAAGAGGAACAAATTAATTTGCAGAGAGATGTGGTAAAATGGAAAACACTGAACTCGAAAGCAAATTCATTATAGGCTTCGTGTCATTTTTTTAAAAATTCATTTCAGTTTTTAAGCTCACTGCTTGGTCTCAATTAAGGTTGTGATATTTTAATTATCTTAATTGTTTCTAAACTTGTTTTCCAGTTCAAGTTACTTTGTAATGAGCTACAATGATTTTAAAATCCAGAGCCAAGCCTTTTCGCTGTCCGTGGGCACATCCTGAGAGCTCACAGGCAAAGGGCCGTAAGTAACCCCTGGGAGAGCGGAGCAGGAGACCACCGCAGAGCCGCTGGGACGAGGGCATGTTCCATTTTGTGGGTTGGTCACAGAGTCCCCAAGAGTCACCTGGGGCACTGACACACACTCGGATTTTTTTCATTAACACCTGCAGAGCCTCTGTTCTGTGCGGGCTGGCGGCTGGCACCTCCAGAGGGAACAGGACCGCATTCCTGCCCCCCAGGGGCTCACAGCTCTGAGGGAAGACAGGCAACAGGAGGTGAAGTTCAGTGTGTTAGGGGAGAAGGCACGGGACCTCGCCTGGCCTCTCGGGGGAGAGGAAGACTTCCTTGACAGACAGACATCTATGGAAAATGGGTTCAAGCCAGGTGATAGGATGAAGAACATTCCAGGTAGGAGGCACCTTTCTTCCCCAGAGAAACCGAGGCAAATCTGGGGAACTGAAGTGTCTCGGCTGGGCTCCTGACAGGTTGGAGCAGGGGTGGTATGTGATACAATGGGAGAGGGTGGCATCACCAGGAAGGGCCTGGAAAGCACAGGGAGGACTCCAGAG